TCTTAAGTACAAGAAGCGCGTCAACTATACGATGACTTGCTCCAGACGAAGGTCATGCACGCTTTACCCCATGATTTCGTTCAGTATAGTTGGGATGACATTTTAGCTAGTCTGACATTGTTAACAGGGAAACTCTGGCGTTCAGTCTCTGTATAGCCTTCGATGACGATATTAGCAGCAAAAAGAGTATTTCGTATAGTCGGCCGGCCTCTATTGTCGACTCTGAAGCCCGTTACAAGACGTTCTCGTGTAAGAGTTTATCCATGTTTGCTGCCCTGCTGTACTTTACCTTTGTAGAGGAGATTGGTTTTGAATCAGATATCATCGGCTGTTTTTTAGGCATGTTGATCTGCGGATGAACTTTGTTTGTCTGCTGCCTCATTGACTATAACTGACGCGTTATCCTATTCCAGCATCAGCTCTTTTGTGTCTCTACCAACACGGTGATTAAGCGCTCTAGCTCGTGACGTGCATTGTGTAGAGGGTAGATAATGTAATCATTAAATGCAGGAGGCCCCCTCCGTAAATTTCCTTCCTTTCGGTCAGCTGTCAGTGTCTTTCTCATGCACGTGCTTGTACCTCAACCTGTGCGTAAGTTTATGTCCTTCTTGGGTATTTTCTCTGTGGTTGACGTTTCTTACTGCTTAAGTGGCTTCCACAGTTACCGCCTGGTTGACGCAGGTGCATTACGCCGTACCTCACCCTGGCATGTGATTCGTTTTAATGGTTCGAATAGGTGGTGTGAGCGAATGAGGGAAGCAGCTGCCCACTTGATCTACGTTGGTATGGGTATGCATTTACGATTTTTGCCGTCTGTACCGTCTATAGTATATGGTAGTCTGGGTATGGGCAAACAGCACAGCCGTGTATTCCAGTCATCTGTCCGTGTGGTACGACTCTCCCTACTGGAAATGATTCGTGCCGTGAATGTCAAACTGGCTAAGCCGGCGATCGGACTTCGCCATGCAGATTCATGTTCGCTGTATGGAAAACTGGCAAATGTATCGCATGTATTTTTTGGCAGCGACGTAAACGTCAACGCCACTTTGATATAGGTGATTTGTGCA